CAAAACGGTACATAATACAATTTTTCTTAAGTAGTTTTCTAATTTAATTGTTACTTCCCTTAGACCGTAAAGTTATACTTTTTTTAAAATTACTTTATTTCGTTTTAAACTTTAATGTCATGAGAAGACATCTGTTTTAAATATTTTTTTATTTTAGCATCTTTTGGGCTTTTAAATGTATCCATATTTTAATACTATTTATCGATAGATGAAATACTAGCATAAACTCGCACTTAAAACTTTAGGTTGCCATAGAAACAACACAAATGTGAGGATAAAACTATGTTAAATTCCCCATAATTATAACGTTTTTCACGCAAAAAAACAAAAAAAACAAATCGAATTTGATTCAAATATAGGCCTATTCTTTTCTACAAAGATGTACGTTACCACGTTGTTTTTTTTTAATCGCTATATCTTGTATAAATTTTAAATACAAAATTTTATGCAAAATAAGGGGATGACACTACATCAAAACACACATATATTCTAACAAAGAGAACAATGTAGACATTTTAATGGTTAATTCATGTGAAAAATTTCATGTGACAATTACTTACAGAATCTTAGGGATTTAAATTGTGGAAAACGCGTAAAAATAAGAAATTGAAAAACGGTGAAGACTAGGAAATGGAACTGTTATGAAAATATTACAGAAAACGATAAAAATAGCTTGTAGTCTGTGGACCTTAAAAGCTGCATTACATTTAACAGGTTTTTATTTGCCTGACGTACAATGTTTATGTTAAAACGTTAATTCAGTTATAAAGACCCATAACTACACTGTATTAGAAAAACTTTAATTCAGTTATAAAGACCCATAACTACACTGTATTAGAAAAACTTTACAAATGTAGAAAACCATTATAGCCGGGTAGTTTGTGTGATGAGGATTTAAAGAGATTAAGTTCGTATGGCTAAGTCTACTGATTAATGATTACTATTGAGATCTATGAATCTCCCCCCTCGAAATTAGAAAAATTATGGGCTATATATAAATAATATATATATAATATATATATATATATATATATATATATATATATATATATATATATATATATTTATTTATTTATTTATTCATTTATATATATATATATATATATATATATATATATATATATATATATATATATATATATATATATATATATATATAATTTACTTATTTATATAATACGAGCCGACCCGCTGCGTATCATACGCCGCTATTTAGTTAATTATTTTCTACTTTTCATTCATTCATAATTTGTGAATTCGACAGTACCAATATAGCCACTGAAAATATTTGCTTTAAAACAAACCCCCCCCCCCAAACCCCTACCCTACACCCCACCCCCCCCCCCCCCCCCCCCCCCGTGTGAATGCAGCCTTCTCTTAGTTACCTCCTGTAAGTTTAAAATCGTTTCAAACTAAATTATCTGCCCCTAATAGCCGTCAACAAACCCAGCTCTACGATTTGTAAACATTCAGAGTGAATACCGCTCACCAGATCATGTGGGGGTGGGGTGGGGGTGGTAGTGATGATAGAGAGGAAGAGAGGGGACTGCAAGGAGGCGCTTGCAGCTTGTTTTCTAACTGATCCCAGAAGAGAATTATATATATAGACGAGCCGGCCCGCGGCATAACATACGCCGCTATTTAGATCTAGTTGTTTCTAATTTTCAGTAATTCATAATTTGTGAATTCGACAGTACCAACGCTGACACTGAAAATATTTCTTTAAAACACTATACGTAGCTCGTAAAGGACCGTAACCCCCCCCTTCCTTCCCCCCCCTTCCCCCCCCCCTACGTTTAAAATCGTTGGCTCTGCTTGTAAACATTTAGAGTGAACACAGCTCACTAAAACCATGTAGGGGTGGGGAGGTAGGGAGCGCGTTTACAGCTTGTTTTCTAGCGGCTCCCAGAAGAGAATTATATATATAGATACTTAGTGTCAGCCCACCTCCCCCTTTTAAAAATCTAATTAATCATTTTTCTTCTATACATTTTGCAAAGCTTTAGTCTTGGTGTCAGCCCCCACTTGGTGTCACACGGTGTGATAATAATTACATAACTGACTTTGTGTTATAATAATTAGATAACTGACTTTGTGTGACGTTAAACAAAAAAAAATTACATGGAAACTATTTTAAATTATATAAAGGTACATTATTCATGTTTCTTAAAGATATATTCTATTTTAATTGTTATTTCCCTTTGACCGCTAACAACATTGTTTTATCCCACCTACGCGTTGGTTCAAGCTTTTGTCCGTTTACAACAGACACGACATAAAAAAAATTGTTTTTGTTTCATATGTTCAATGGTTTTTCATATGTCAATATGTTGATATAATTTTCTTTATAGACCAAAATAGCAGAAAGACTTTTCTAGAAGTTCAGGTTGCTATTGATGTGAAAATTAATTCATATTCAATTCACTAATACATTTTATAGGTCCAAACGTTAACGTCAATAATGAGAGTAAAAAGAAGTTCCCCTTCAAACGTGACGGTCTACGGGGAAAGTGAAGTTGAGTTCATTCGTTTGTGTTACCACGGCTTATGAAGAGATAGTGTGGTCAGTACAATAACCAGCCGCATTTACTTTTCCTAACGTGAGTCAGGTACCCATCAGAGCAATGTGGACTCAGGGACGTTCTACAGACCATGTTCGAACTCGAGACTTACGGGTTAGCAGTCCAGCTCACTACCGCTAGGCCACTCCGTCACTTTAATTTTCAGAGTCGCTAGCGTCAATATTGAGAGTCGCTAGATCATAACTTTAGCGTGAATATTGAGAGTTGCTAGATCCAAACTTTAGCGTCAATATTGAGAGTCGCTAGATCCAAACTTTAGCGTCAATATTGAGAGTCGCTAGATCCAAACTTTAGCGTCAATATTGAGAGTCGCTAGATCCAAACGTTAGCGTCAATATTGAGAGTCGCTAGATCAAAACTTTAGCGTCAAAATTGAGAGTCGCTAGATCAAAACTTTAGCATAAATATTGAGAGTCGCTAGATCCAAACGTTAGCGTCAATATTGAGAGTCGCTAGATCCAAACTTTAGCGTCAATATTGAGAGTCGCTAGATCCAAACTTTAGCGACAATATTGAGAGTCGCTAGATCCAAACTTTAGCGTCAATATTGAGAGTCGCTAGATCCCAACTTTAGCGTCAATATTGAGAGTCGCTAGATCCAAACTTTAGCGTCAATATTGAGAGTCGCTAGATCCAAACGTTAGCGTGAATATTGAGAGTCGCTAGATCCAAACTTTAGCGTCAATATTGAGTCGCTAGATCCAAACTTTAGCGACAATATTGAGAGTCGCTAGATCCAAACTTTAGCGTCAATATTGAGAGTCGCTAGATCCCAACTTTAGCGTCAATATTGAGAATCGCTAGATTCCAACTTTAGCGTCAATATTGAGAGTCGCTAGATCCCAACTTTAGCGTCAATATTGAGAGTCGCTAGATCCCAACTTTAGCGTCAATATTGAGAGTCGCTAGATCCCAACTTTAGCGTCAATATTGAGAGTCGCTAGATCCAAACTTTAGCGTGAATATTGAGAGTCGCTAGATCCAAACTTTAGCGTCAATATTGAGAGTCGCTAGATCCAAACTTTAGCGACAATATTGAGAGTCGCTAGATCCAAACTTTAGCGTCAATATTGAGAGTCGCTAGATCCAAACTTTAGCGTCAATATTGAGAGTCGCTAGATCCAAACGTTAGCGTGAATATTGAGAGTCGCTAGATCCAAACTTTAGCGTCAATATTGAGTCGCTAGATCCAAACTTTAGCGACAATATTGAGAGTCGCTAGATCCAAACTTTAGCGTCAATATTGAGAGTCGCTAGATCCAAACTTTAGCGTCAATATTGAGAGTCGCTAGATCCTAACTTTAGCGTCACTATTGAGAGCCGCTAGATCCCAACTTTAGCGTCAATATTGAGTCGCTAGATCTAAACTTTAGCGTCAATATTGAGAGTCGCTAGATCCCAACTTTAGCGACAATATTGAGAGTCGCTAGATCCAAACTTTAGCGTCAATATTGTGAGTCGCTAGATCTAAACTTTAGCGTCAATATTGAGAGTCGCTAGATCCCAACTTTAACGTCAATATTGTGAGTCGCTAGATCCAAACTTTAGCGACAATATTGAGTCGCTAAATCCAAACTTTAGCGACAATATTGAGAGTCGCTAGATCCAAACTTTAGCGACAATATTGAGAGTCGCTAGTTCCAAACTTTAGCGTTAATATTGTCGCTAGATCCAAACTTTAGCGACAATATTGAGAGTCGCTAGATCCAAACTTTAGCGTCAATATTGAGAGTCGCTAGATCCCAACTTTAGCGACAATATTGAGAGTCGCTAGTTCCAAACTTTAGCGTGAATATTGAGAGTCGCTAGATTCAAACTTTAGCGTGAATATTGAGAGTCGCTAGATCTTAACTTTAGCGTCAATATTGAGAGCCGCTAGATCCAAACTTTAGCGTGAATATTGAGAGTCGCTAGATCCCAACTTTAGCGTCAATATTGAGAGTCGCTAGATCTTAACTTTAGCGTCAATATTGAGTCGCTAGATCCTAACTTTAGCGTCAATATTGAGAGTCGCTAGATCCAACCTTTAACGTCAATATTGAGAGTCGCTAGATCCCAACTTTAGCGTCTATATTGAGTCGCTAGATCCAAACTTTAGCGTCAATACTGAGTCGCTAGATTCAAACTTTAGCGACAATATTGAGAGACGCTAGATCGAAAATTCAAACAAACAAAAATGAGAAAGAAAACTAGTTGATTGAAAACTGTTTATTTACGTTAATATTTTATTTTTACAAGAAAATTGTGACAATTTTTTCTCCACTCCCAATCAAACAATCAACGACTTTTTCTCTGATAAAAATAACGAGATAATTAATTAAAAGTTTAATAAAGCTCTACAATAATGTCAAGAAATATTTTAAGAGCAGACATCCAACAGGCGCCATGTTTGTTTACATTCTATACAAGAGCAGACAACTACAAGTATCTGTCCAGCCACAGCCCACTATAATTTAATCCACCAGAGTTAACTCCACTGTGGGGATGTTCAGACCACCTGCCACCCCCCACTCTGTAGACCAGAGCCCCACTGCTACCTGGACAGGTGGACGTTGTGTACCTGTACCTGGTCCACTTACCCCTCACCACCTGCCTGTCCACCCAGTGACCTACAGAGACCTGCTTAGAACAGCCATGAGGATGTGACACTATAATGGTCAGCTTGTCCACCTCTCTACGACTCTCGTATTTGTCCTGTACTTTCTCACATAGACCATCAAACCGCCTATCCATCTCCTCCAGTTTACCACCTACATCTACGTCATGTGTCACACAACACAACCAACACCTGTCTCTCTCAGTGTCTGACACATCCACCTTCCACCCATAAATGTTGACCACTGGACTTTTATCATCATCAAACCACAACCTACAGCTGGACTGTCTCGCCTCACTCTCATCAAAAACCACATGTCTGGCTGTCAACACAATAGCCCTCCACCACACTTTGCTGGGTGTGTCCGAGTGGTCACATTCAGGACATGGACAAGTTCTGCCATCCTCTCCCTCTGTGCACTTGTGCACATGCCCCAACCTCCCAGTCCCTGTCCTCAGTGAGTTCTGTCCCCTGGTGTTGTAGCAAGGATATGGATCTTTAGTGCCTGGTACAAACTCTGGTCTGTCTGGACTGGTCAACTTAACGGCTATCCTGATAGTTAGGTCAGCCAGGGCTTTTGTTAGGTCATACACATCGTTGTCATGGTAACCAGAAGGAAAATGTTCAACACTTAACTGATTTACAGGTACAAAGTTTTTATGGCCAGGATTTTTCTCACAGTTTGCCAGGTGTGTGTGTAGATCTACCTCACCTTGACCTTCAAGACATTCTTGTACTTCATGTGTACCTGTACAGGTAAACAAAACAATTTTATTACTGTAAACATTTCATTAGCTGTTAAACTTTGACAAATATAAAACATGAAAACTATCTACAACCTCCAACCGTCACAACCATCTCAACCATCACCATCATGCAATTAAAGCAACACAAGGACTTCATCAGTGCAGAAACTTTCACTAGCCTCATTAATAACATTTTGTATTTGATGCATGCATTTTATATATAAAGTCAAACAAATGGACATTACCTGTAAAACATTTTGATAAGTCTTTTCCACTGGCCATACTGTTGTGGTCATCTAGACTATCCTCTCCACTGGCCATACTGTTGTGGTCATCTAGACTATCCTCTCCACTGGCCATATTGTTGTGGTCATTTAGACCTCTTGTAGTTGTTGATTTGTTACCCATCTGTAAAGAAATGATGGTGATCAGATTAAATGGCTTATGGTTTGTTATGGTTTTTAAGATTCAAAACTACACAATTTAATGAAAATATAATTTTTAGAGACAGAAACCCTAACTGAAAATCTTAATCAATAAAATAGCAATTTATTTCACTAAAATAAATAAAGACAGCCATTGGCAATTCAAGAGAAACTCAATCCTACATGCTGGTCAGATTTAGAAGATAATAGTTAAATAGCCACTGGTCAATGATGTGGAAAACAGAATACAGCATGAGGGTCATCTTTAGAAGATTATGGTTAAATACATTCTTAGACCAACATGCAAGATATAATGGAACTGACCTTTGAACTCCCCACTTGACTTTAACACCAGACAGCACACACCACTATGGAAGATCCTTCAGGCTCTGGAGAGAGAAATAAAATTATAGTGGAACTGTCATTAGCATAGAACTACAGAATGACAACATTTATGATGGAACTGTCATTAGCATAGAACTACAGAATGACAACATTTATGATGGAACTGTCATTAGCATAGAACTACAGAATGACAACATTTATGATGGAACTGTCATTAGCATAGAACTACAGAATGACAACATTTATGATGGAACTGTCATTAGCATAGAACTACAGAATGACAACATTTATGATGGAACTGTCATTAGCATAGAACTACAGAATGACAACATTTATGATGCAACTGTCATTAGCATAGAACTACAGAATGACAACATTTATGATGGAACTGTCATTAGCATAGAACTACAGAATGACAACATTTATGATGGAACTGTCATTAGCATAGAACTACAGAATGACAACATTTATGATAGAACTGTCATTAGCATAGAACTACAGAATGACAACATTTATGATGGAACTGTCATTAGCATAGAACTACAGAATGACAACATTTATGATGGAACTGTCATTAGCATAGAACTACAGAATGACAACATTTATGATGGAACTGTCATTAGCATAGAACTACAAAATGACAACATTTATGGTGGAACTGACATTAGCATATAACTACAGAATGACATTTATGACGGAACTGTCATTAGCATAGAACTACAGAATGACAACATTTATGATGAATTATAAACAATTTAAGAAGAACACAACATGTTTCTTATAATTGTGATGTAACCTGAAGATGTCAAATGTTTGCAACACAGGGGAGAAATGTTTGTATCTAGATAATAGTTTTTAGTTGCCTAGCAATTTTAAATTACACTAATGCCTAATTAGGCTGTTACTAGTTATAGAACAGGGCCCACTATTTTTAAAGACCTGAAATAAAAACACATTAATATAAATTTTATAAGCTGATAGTGTAAAAGTTACAGTAATAGTTTTTACAACTTTTTTTTTTTACAACACAATAAATATATAGTCTAGATTTAGATCATAGATCTAGAGAATCTAGATTTAGTCTAGTACTGTAGGTTTTTTTTTTGTTAGCTTAATTTCTGGCATTTTTGTTTTATTTAAGGCTAGTGTCACTAGTGTAGTAAAAGTTTAAACTGCTACAAATTTAAAGCTAGAAATCAAATCTAGATACTAGATTCTAGATCTAGGACACTAGATCTCTAGATCTAGATATAGATACTAGGAGATTCGTCCTAATTCTAGAGTTACGAGTATATTCGCAAAAGCTGAATGAAATCTTTATCATAATTTAAACAAACGAAGTGACTACGCGTCTCGCAAAGCGTGACCCCTAAAGAATAGACTACGCGTCTCGCAGGTTTGATGTGCCATCTTGTAATTGAAAATGCTTACTTTTTACTCCATCATCACATCCGCTGTGGTTGAGTCAACAGTGTGCCGGGGTTAGTTAGTCTATTTTTTTTTCATATTGAAAATATGACGTAGACTATGATTCTTTTTTTTTAATAAAATTCCAACCATCGTCACTGGCGTGATTGCTTGCCTTACGTTTACTATCCCGTGAGTGGAAAATCCCACCACGGCCTACGGTCGCGAGGTCACTGAGTTCAGCAGGCCTAAAGCATACGTCATAGACGTTCACACAAGATCATCTGTCTTCACTTCTCTCTTCCTCCCACCCCCACCCCCCCTCTCCCCTCAAGCAAATTGATTTTTTTTTAAGTTCACTTAGGATAAATAATATAGATTTAGATCTACTATCACGCATGCTAGATACTGGATAGCTAGGCCTAAAGGTTAAAGGACAGTTTGATTAAACTAAGTTGCTGCTAGATCTAGGACTATCATCTGACCCCACAAACTTTCCACTACACTGTACTGTTTTTTTACAAGTACTAGACTCTTAGGTGTTGAAATAATATAAATACATTTAAACTCGATCTAGATCTATGTCAACATTAAATTGTTACCACGAAAAAAAAATCGTTTTTTTTTAGATCGCGTGCCACCTAGGGTAAAGATTAAGCGTAACGCGGAGCGAACTGAGCAAAGGCGACCTTACGCGTAACGCGGAGCGAACCGCGCAAATGCGGCCTTAAACAAAAGTCATGATTGAAATTAGTAATTAGATCTAGAATCTAGATCTATTTGATCTAATCTAGATTCTAGAACTAATCTAGAACTAGAATCTAGAATCTATAGATCTAGAAAAAGCTAGTCTAGATCACAGATGTAATTGTAGTAATGTAGTATGGCTAAGTTAAGTATAGGCTACATTAATTGGAACATTGCATTAAAACACACTATAGCAGTAAAACTAAAACTAGATTCTAGACCTAGCATCAAATCTAGATCTAGATCTAGATCTAGAATCTAGATCTATATCTAGACTCTAGATCTGTGTTGAGGACGGAGACCAAAGATTTTGGAAAACTAAAAGCTGAAACAGAGTGTGTAACACAGTCTCGACCCCTGACTTTCATCGCTAGCAGGAATGAAGATCGGCTTTCGATGGCCAGAACACTTTAAACTTTTATTGCCGTAAGCAAATTTAAAGAAGCCAAAAATAAAATTTAGTAGCAGTTCTACAATATCACTATCAAGTATCAGAGGCTGTAACATAAAATAAATAGATCTAAATGGGAAAAATAAGAAGTGGCGTTTGACTTTTGGAAAAGGGACGACGCCACTCCAGTCCCTAGGCCGTCCTTACGAGTTAGTCAACTTTAATAATGTGTTATGTGGTTAAAAAAACTATAGGCCTACTATTTGAAACAGTGTTTCCTCCCGAGTTTTTTCTCCGAGGGAGTCACTTAAAATTGTAGAGGGGGGGGGGAGCAGTGTTTCTTCCAGACTTTTTTTCTCCGGGGGGGGGGGGCACTTGAAATTTTCGGGGAGCGGTAAACTTTCTTCGGGGGGGGGGGGGGGGGGCGGACACTGTTAAAAGTATATATTTTCTATATAAATTATATATATTTCATTTCGTTCAGGGGGGGGGGGCAAAAAAAATTCGGGGGCGCTTCGCCCCCCCCCCCCCCTCTAAGAGATGCCTGGAAGAAACTCTGGGGGGGGGGGGGAGGGATGCGGAAACTCGTAAAAATACATATTCTCCATATATATTCTACTTCGTTCGGGGGGTGTGGCTTGTTATCCAGTAGCTAATTTAATACTATTGTTAAAATATATCTCTTCTAATGATAATTTTTAAAAACAATTTGGATTTGCTTCTATAACCTAAGGCAGTTGTGGGCCTAATTGTTTGACTCTGGAATTGTCTACCATTGATTGTTTACTGTCCCCAGTAACGCCTACGGTTTAAAAAAATATTGTCCAAGATTATTTAAATGATTAAAAACGAAATGTGTTTACCTTGAATTTGATACGAATTTCAATTATCAAAAATAATCGATAGCCTAGAAAATGATTTGTGAAAAAAATGCCTTGGATTTTAAATGGCTACGCCGATACGGTGGGGTAATTTTAAAGGACTGTTGTTGTGACGTGATTTACTGTACAGTAGAAATAAGTCGTTTGCTAGATTTATTCCCATTCAAATACAAACGGCAAAATGGATGGGCTTAGTTAGTTGTTATCTCGATAAAGTTATTTTTTGGAAGGTTTTTTTAAACTCCATATTACTTTTTAATTAATGAAAATAATTTAGTAGGACGTAATACATAATTTTCTATAGTTCAGAATAATTTTGAGCATTTTTAAAACAATATTAAATACTGTAATTAAAGTTTAGCCTACTGTATATGATTCTGCTCGATATTCTCAACGATTAGACACAAAATGTACAAATGGCAGGTTTGTATCAAGCACTTTTCGTCAATTATTAAAACGAGATCAGTATTGTTGAATAATACGCAGAAATAACGCTTATAAGCATATATTACTGAAATGACAATGAAACATTCGGATTCGTCGTTTTCGACAGCCATTATCACCATGACGACGATAAAAAGAATTAGGTCAAACGACAGACTACATAGAGCCTCATGTACACGGGTGTTTGAATTCGGAACTACTAGGTTTAGCAGCAATATGCTTTACTGGCCCGACAAACGAATCTGTGACTGGCCTGTCTTTATATCTATGTCACCTTGCCATATAAAATCCTATGGGACAATGGGCCCAACATTGGGAACTAACAAATTATCGACCCCCCCCCCCCCACGGCACTAACAACCCTGGTCACTGGTCAGCCTACAGGCTAGTTTTGTCACGTCTAGTCTGTCTGTTGTTCACTCCCCGTGGTAATCGTATTGTTGTGTCTAGCAGATGCTTTTGAGGTTCCTCCAATTTTATTTTACATCCTATAAAGTTTATATTAAAATGTGGAGCTTACAGTACAATAAATCCGCCAAATTATAATCATGGCATTAACATAGTTTAAATGACAAAATTAAATAATATATATGGATATGGATCACCTCATTCTGAAATATTTTAATCTAAATAAGTTACCGGAAGTATAAACTAAATCGCGTTTGTGAGTATAAAACATACATAATTAACACTTTGAAAAAAAGACATAATAGCTGATTATTTCCGAAAAATATTTTTTATTAAGAACAATTTTCTGATTCGTAAAACTTTAATCTCCGTATATTCAATATTTTATTCCGTCTATGATATTCAAAACATTTATAATAACTTAAATAGTAGGCTATGCAAATACATGTCTTCTGTCTTTGTTGTAATTCGATTATTAAGTATTTTAATATGTAATTATAGTAATTATATATATATCATCATATTGCATTTACTTCTAATTAACTTGAAAATTAAAAGAATAATTTTTGCAAGTTTGTCAATTTGGCAAGCCTTACCTTCAGAAGGTATCGGCGTTTTCTTTTATAAACTAGCATCGATTCTTATACTACGCATCGCTTACTGAGTAATGAGTGTAAAAACAAAAAGAATTATATGTAAGCAATTTTCAAAACATTTTATTACTGATATATAAACTTGAATTTAAGTTTTATTTAATGGAACGTTAATTAAAATAAAGTGTTTTTTATTTATGTACATTTTGCACATCTTACAAATGGCGGGAAAATATATCACTTACTTTATCGATATTTTATGAGTATCGACTTCGAATCCTCGGGAATTGTTTAGACTAAATACCGATACATTTAGTATCGTCGTCTTTTGTTAGAAACAAATATAATTTTCCATTTGTGAAAATAGAAATAGTAATTATATTAACCAAAGTACCGATTATCAAACCTAGCGA